TTTTCCCACCGGCTCGTTAGTTGACATAGAGTTTCATCAACCAGAACTTGACACTTGTACACATTTCCTACACCAACATACTGTTTTAGAATTAAAAAATAAAACATATTGGGATTTGGTAGATCAAGTAGTTTCTTACATGAAACGTTAACACGATACAAAAATAACATGTTTCAAGTCAACACAATAACTAATCAGGTGACCCGTTAATAATAGTTATATACACGGGTAACCCGTTTCGATCCGTTAAGAAAAATAAATTATAATTTTAAAGTTTAATTACTACAAAAATTATTATAAAATTCAATAGCCATATTGTATATATATGAGTTAAAAAAATTAAGTTTTATTCATTTATTTATTTTTATTATGAGAGTTTCTTATTATCATTAATAGGATAAATTTTACTTAACATGTTGTTGTCCAAAATTAAAATCAACTAGTATAGTATTAGTAAGGCAATAAGACATCCTACAAGTATGAAAAATTTGAAAGAATATATAAACACTCGTGATTCATCATTCCTCCATGACTAGACAATGGTTACACTTACATTATCGTTTAGATTTTTAAAACCATCCAAACCGTCATGAATAGTGTTTTTTATTTGAGTATAAAAGTAATAAAATTAATAATAATTATTGTAGAAGTGTAAGAAATGTAATATATATATATATATATATATATATATGCATTGTGACATCCCACATCGCCCAGGGGACTGATCCTTATATGTACATTCCATCTCTACCTAGCACGAGGCCTTTTGGGAGCTCATTGGCTTCGAGTTCCGTAGGAACTCCGAAGTTAAGCGAGAAGAAGGCTAGAGCACTCCCAGGATGGGTGACCCTCTGGGAAGTTGCTCGTGAGTTCCCAAAAACAAAACCGTGAGGGAATGGTAAGCCCAAAGCGGACAATATCGTGCTACGGTAGTGGAAGCGGGCCCGGGAAGTGATCCGCCCCGGATCGGGATGCGACATTGGTATCAGAGCCTATCCCTGGCCGGAAATGTGCCGACGAGGACGTCGGGCCCCTAAGGGGGGTGGATTGTGACATCCCACATCGCCCAGGGGACTGATCCTTATATGTACATTCCATCTCTACCTAGCACGAGGCCTTTTGGGAGCTCATTGGCTTCGGGTTCCGTAGGAACTCCGAAGTTAAGCGAGAAGAGGGCTAGAGCACTCCCAGGATGGGTGACCCTCTGGGAAGTTGCTCGTGAGTTCCCAAAAACAAAACCGTGAGGGAATGGTAAGCCCAAAGCGGACAATATCGTGCTACGGTAGTGGAAGCGGGCCCGGGAAGTGATCCGCCCCGGGTCGGGATGTGACATGCAATCACATGTAGTGACAAGCTTTACAACTTTCATGAATGGGTCAACTTCAAAATCCAACACTATAATCCATAAACCTTAAATTTGTATTTTACCGTCAATTGTCTTTTAGGCTTTATTCTTTATATTGAATTTCATTTTTAAAATTTTCTTTTTTTAAAACATGATCTTCTAGGGGATGTAGGAATATGAACGGTTCAGATCTTTGATATCACGTTCCGATATTTACGATTAATTGAAATATGAGTCGATGTTATATAGTTTGTAGAGACTTTATAAACGCCAAGCAATATTTTCACTAACGGTAAAACTGTGAACATAATATCAACGATTCAAACCGTTCATCTTCCTATATCCTCTAATAGATCATGTTTTCAAAAAAAAAAATTTGGTGAGAAAAATGAAGCATAAATGTAAACAACAATCGACAGTTAAATTTTGATATATGATTTATATGATTATAGTGGCACATTTCAAAGTTAAACCCTTCACGAAAGTTGTAAAGCTTGTCATTACGAGTGTTTATATATTTTTCACACTTCTACATTAATTAAAAAAACTATTAAAGACTTTACTTAAACAATAGAAATAGGATAAATGAGAAGAGTGCTAATGTAGAAAGTCTCACTGAAAATATCATCAATATAACTTTTGAAGACAATATATCACGCCAAAATTCCAATACCGTTTCCCATAGTGATTGATGAAAATTGAAGAGTTTGATTGTAAGAAAATGTGCAAGGTTACAAACCTTGAAACATAACTCCCATAATTTTGCAAATCTTTTGAATATTTGCTATTTTGTAATGTTCTAATGTTTATTTATTTATTTATTATTATGCTCTTATTTTGGGTATGTAAATATGTAATACTTGAAAGACAAATGTGTTTTTATGTTTTGAATGTGATAATATGGTATGTATATATTTATTTAGTATTATGTTTTTCATTTGATTATTTATTGGTTTAAAATACATTTTCCTTAATGGGTAACGGGTCGGATCATATTACCTATTAATATTATCATGTCGATTTTGGGTCGGGTCATTTTACCCTTTTATTTTAACGGGTGTTAAACGACACGACTCTTTAAGATATCGAGTATGACACGAAAACGACACGAACACAGGAACACACGACACGAATGCCAGGTCTAGGATTTGGGCCTCACTAGTCTCTTCTTCCTCTCTCCTCCTTCGGAAAAGGCATTTTCATCAATACAACACCAGCCTTCTCTCTTCCCTCTCCTTCGTCGTCTCTATGCACACCGGCAACCAAGCAATCTCCGACCAAAGCGTCACCATCACCTGCATCTGAATGTCCAGTACGACCACTGCCAAGATCACCCACTTGATGTTGATGCCCTCCACCCAACAACCACATCACTCCCACCACTATGAACACCCACTTAAAACTCCAGTCTTTATCGTGCAACTAAAATATGAATTTGATACCATCTTCTTCTTTGATAGTCTTTCCATACTGAAATATGATTTTAAAATAGGGCATAATTTTGAAATTAATTGTTAAGTTATAATTTGAATAATGTAAATGCAAAAATCCTGGATATTTTGGTCGGAGATTGCTTGGTTGCTGGTGTGCATAAGACGGCAAGGGAGAGGAAGAAAGAAGGATGGCCGGTGTTATGCCTTTCAGTTTCACGAAAAAGGGAGATAGAAAGGAGAGACTAGTGGGGTCCAAACCCCAATATGTGTTATTTATTTATTTATTATTATTATTTATGTTTAAAATGTGGGTTGGAGTTGAAATGTGTATAGGTGTCAGATCAAGGTTGGTGGAACTCCATGTTAGCTAATGAGCTCGGAACCTGAAAAAATTTCTCGTCATTCATTTGATCTTTAGAATTGATTGCCAAAAAGATATTCAAAGTTCTACATTTCTGCTGGCCAAGATTTTGCAATTTTGATAGACTACCAACCAGGTAGTTAATTGTTTTTTTAACCACAAGATTTTTGTGATCATTTGAAAAATAAATTACGACGGTTTTTTAGTTTCTGGTATTACAACACTTGATTCCTAAATTGCATCAATTTAACGTTTCGTCAATTTATTGTCTAATTAGACATTAAGTGTTGACGTGACATTGTTCGAGCTCACATTTGAAGCACACATTAACCGTCAATTTCACCATTTAGTATTTTACTCTTCTAATTCTTTTATGAAATTGAAGGTCAACTTCTGCCTCAAATACAGGTCTAGTTTATGCTACGTCATCACTTAACGTCTAATTAGATGTTAAAATTGACAGAAAGCTTAAATTAGTGCAATTCAGAAATCACATGGTGTAATATGCAAAAATTAGAACCTCATGGCTCATTTTGCAAAGGACCTTCAAACCTTGTGGTGTGAAATGATGTTAAACCAACAACGTAAGTAGTGAATTGTTTTTGTAGTTAGGATGTTTCTCTTTATCCATCTGCGTTTCGGGTTTCAACTTTAATCGTCTCCTTAATGTAAACGACAATAGTAATATTGCTTGTATTAAATAAAAGTAATTTTTTTTTTTGACAAATAGTTTATGCAATTTTAGGTTATCTTTTCATAAAATAGTGGTACTCAGCACACACGCTCTACCTATGCAACTAAATTTGTATTTTATTTTACTACGACTTATCCTTAATGAGCATGGATGACAACCGTAAAAAGTAAAAGAAAAATGAAAAAAGGGAAAAGAAAAGGAGAGGACGGGAGGACGGGAGAACGTGGGGGAATGCAGAGAGGATGAGAAGGAGAGAAGTTGAGTTTTCTTATTTGTTTTTTGATTTTTAAATAGGGTATGTTATATTCACATGGCTATGAGGTTAGTGTAAAAAACAGTAAAATTTATTTTAGATATAATGATTAAATTGTCCACTGTTTTTGTAATTTTCAATTTTGGTGAGAGGATTAGAATGGTATCTTGTTGGAGTTTTGGTTGATAAACAAAGTTCTATAAGTAGATAGTTTAGATATTTGATAAAAAAATAAAATTGAAACTTTCATAAAAAGGACTTGAGCTAAGTTTATTTTAATAAAAAATCATGCTATAACTTTATTTAATTAAAAAGACTTAAATTTTAATGAAAACCCCTTAAATTTTAATAAAAAGACAAAAGAACTTAAATTTTAATGAAAAAGATATAATTTAAATATTAAAAAAAATTGACATGTGGACCCACGCGTCCTTGCACAAACTGTATATGAAACTTATGACGCTGTTTATGAAACTTACTACATTGTTTATGAAAACTTACGACAGTATTTATAAAACTTACTGCACTGTTTATGAAACTTAACGGTACTACACTGTTTCTGAAATTTAACGGTGATACATTGTTTAAGACAAGGTTCTAAAAAACGCTAGGCGCTAGTCGGATGGCGGCCTAGGTGGATTTAGGTAAATTTCTTATATATTTTATGAATTAATTAAATTTACTATATCAAATGTAAATAATTATTAACTAATATGTTGTTTCTTATAGAAGAACATACATATGTGAATGTTTTATGTACATATATAAGCTTGCCTAGGAAAAAAAAAAATATTATCTAAATAATTTATAATTTATATATATATATATATATAATCCCAAACTTTTAAAAATATAAAAAGGCCACATAGTGGGTGGTCTTCATTATTAAAAGCATCAGCACCTTACCTCTTTCACATCACCTGTCCACCACCTTGGGTGGTTTTGATAATTAAAACCATCAGCGTCCATGGTTTTGATAATTAAAACCATCAGCTTTTCCTTGGATTTGAGATACTAGTCCTCAAGTTGTGCCATCACGTATTGAAATGTTTCAGTCTCTCTTTCTCTCTCTCTCTCTCTCTCTCTCTCTCTCTCTCTCTCTTTTGCACTCTCACTTCCCTCATCTTCACAGATGAGCTGCAGAACATACCATAGATTGAAATGTTTAATTGTCTCTCTCTCTCTCTCAGTCTATTTTCGCATTCTTTCTTCCCTCATCGTCACAGAGATGAGTTGCAGAAATTCACCGGTAATCTCTCTCTCTTCGCACTCTCTTTTCCCCCATCTTCACAGAGACGAGCTGCAGAAATTCGCCAAGGCTTTGCTGCTACATAGGAGATCGAAAGTTTGGGATTTGCAGCGAGATTCAAATCGCCTAGACTACCACGTAACGCTGCCTAGCCCGCCGAGCGCCTAGGCGATCGCCTAAGTCCTCCCCGCCTAATTGAACTCTTTGGTCTAAATCGGATTGGAACACTGGTTTAAGAAACTTAATGGTACTACACTGTTTATGAAACTTAATTGTAGTACAGTCTTCTCTATCCTATTTTTGAATTTTCTTGGCACATTCTCATCTTCCAAACGCATTTTCTCCTTCTAATTTTCTTCAATACTCATTAAATTTTCTATATATCTCTTCAATTTCTTAACTTTCTACACCAATTACTTAATTTTCTTGTATTGTCCGCTCATCTGCAGCTTCCTCTTCTCCTCCACCAAATGCAAATGTTGTGCCCTACAACACAACATTTTTAATAATAAAAAAGTTGGGCACAATGGGGTGAGGTACAAGGAGTGCCTTAAGAACCATGCAGCAGTCGTATGAGGTACTGCTACGGATGGCTGTGGTGAATTCATGCCTAATAGAGAAGAAGGCACCATCGAAGCCCTTAAGGGCCTTAACTGTTTTGCTTGCAATTACCACAGAAAAGAAGTTGAAGGTGATCAACAACAGCAGCTTTCCTCTTGGGATCATAATTTCCATCACACCATCAACAGGGCGGTTAGAGTTGGGAGCACGAAATTCTTATTAAATCATGGAGGAGGAACATGACATCACAAAAGTTTACTAGCATTACCCCAATATCCCTACCAACACCAGATGATAATGTCTTACAACATGGGGATGGAAATAGTGGAGATAATATCTAACTACAACATGGGGATGCGAATGATGGGGTCCATCCCCTTAGATCAATCTGATTAGCAGAAAGATCATCACCGTCGTCATCACGATGGCAGATCATGTATTGACATAGGTGTATGGAAATCGCATGCTTTGTTGATCATCAAGTTCATTTGCTTGAATCAATAGGACTTTGAGATCCATTTGAATGTTCGGAAATTGGAGATTGAAACATAGTTGAATTCTAAGAGATTTGAAGAGAGAGATGGACCTTTGATTGGAAAATGACTACTGACTGACGGTTTGAAAAAATCATTCCTCATATTGTTCTTCTCTGTAAGTGGTGGATCATGTATTGATAGAGATGCAGGCTTTACACGCGCTTTTGTTAGATATTTTTAATTTTTTTTCTTTCTCTTGTCCTTGTCATTAAATAAAGTTAATGGGTGGTTATTTGTTAACACTCAAAGTTTTTAAGTCATTTTCATTAGTTTTTCTTTAAAAAAAAAAGGTAGTTTAGATAGTAGAACATGTTAATATTAATGCTTACCATTTTAATTTCTTGATAAGAATAAATAAAATTACTCATGTATACTACGTATGTGTTGCAACTTGCAAGTTAGAGCAAGTTAATATAAGAGGAGAAGACTTGAGTGGTTATGGGAAAGAGAATGTTTGTGGTTCACGGTTGTTTGGTTATCATTTTACTATTACATATTAGATCTATTATCCAATCAGTATAGTGTTAAAATTAGGGCTGGTTTGGTATGGGATCCCAAATTTCAAACCAATTTTTTTTGAGACAAGATTTCAGAAACCAAAACCGATCCAAAATTTCGGTATTCCCAAAATTTTTTCGGGATTTCGGTATGGTTTTGGATTTATAGACCTCCGCCCACACGGCCACACCTCGTCCCAGATTCGTCGACCTTTCCACCCCATCTCTATCCTTCTCATTCCTAGGCTTGTCTTTGTTGCCTTCAGGAGTCGGAGGGCTTTGTGTTGGAAATATGCCCTGAAAGTCAATCTTTGGAAGAAACCTTTCAGGACAATGAATTGATGTATATATGACTCTTATACATCGGAAAACAAAGATACTAATTATGACTATCTCAATGAACGAAATTTGTCCTAAATAGTGAATCCATGGACAATGGATCGATGGAAGAAGTAACCTAATGATGTTAGATTACAGAGACCTTCTTCTCATAACCATCATGTCCAAAAAGGTTCCTGGTCATAAGGATTGTCGGAGGGATACTGACAATCCATAGACTGGTACATACTATGTCCGCTTCAATTGGAAGGATGGAAAGTCTCATCCCATTCGTGTAGCGACACTAAGACAAGCATGTAGGTGCTCATTAAGGGAATGAGTTCACTGAACACAATCGAACGAGAGTACTTGCATGGAGGTCTACTCACATGTCAAGCAAGTAACTCTAATGGTTGGAATAATGTAAGTAATCCTTTAACCTGAGGCATCGTCGTTGTCTTGTGGTTAAGTACTTAATCTTTGATTATGTTAAAGTCATTCCATTCGAGAGTGTCCAAGGCATCGTTGGGGTTAAGCCACTTAGCCATGAAGGCAAGTGAATGCGCAACAAGGAATCTCTAATCCTCGATAAGAGAGGATGAATACTCTAAGATATGATTCGGGAATCTTCGGCCGAAGTATCGAGCGTAATAAAGGAAAGCGTTCCTATACGTCTCAAATGAATCGTATAAGAAGGAATAATCACATTAGGGGTTTGACATTATAAATCCATACCCTAGTAATGTGATTGAGAGTATTGTTTTAGAGAAGGATCGAATTACATTGTAATTCCAACTGAATAGGTTCTCCGAATAACTTCTACATTAGCTTGGGTAGCCATGATATATGGTTAGATGTCACTCATGGCTTGTGAGTTCTTCTAGATGATTAAATGTAGTCATTAAAAGGAAGGTGAATTAAAAGTAAGTTTTAATTCACTAAGTGATTGGATAATCAATTGGATTGGTGCCAATCACCTCACTGCCTTGCTAATTAGAACCTAAAAGATTGTTCACCAATACACTCTTGTAGTGAGTAACTAATGGATGAAGGAAATAATTAATTGGATTAATTAAGTGTTTTGATTAATTTAGAAAGTCTAAAGAAATCATAAAAACGATAAAGATCGTTTTGGGCTTAAAGAAACGTTCGGGTTTAATTGGGCCCATTGGGCCAAAACCCATTGGGCTTTTATTCAAGCATTGGATGACTTGAAATAATTAAAAGCCCAAAGCCCAAACCAAACATCAAAGGCCGGCCAAAGAGAAGGGATAGAGTGGGTCAATTGTTGACTTGTTTCTTTATGTGATAAAAGGAACATAATAATGAAAGGGTGTGTGAGTGTGTTAGGTGGTTCATTATACACAAAAGAAAAATAAAATCTCTCTCTCTCTATCTTCAAAGGCCGGCCACCAAGGGGATGAACTAGCTAATCATCTTGTCACCCTTTTGGTTATTCCTTCATCTTTCTCATTACAAAGTGGGTGAGGATCTTTAGAGGTTTTCATATCTTTGGAAACTTGAAGAGGACCTAGGAGCACTCATTCTCAACAAAGTGGAGGAGGCAAGGAGGGAGGCTAGGCTCAAGGAGTTCAAGGAGCAAAGAGCTTGGAGGTGGTCAATCTTTGGTCTTAGATCTAGATCAAGAGGTATAAAACTACTCCTAAACTTTGTTCTTCAATAAATTGTTTTTGATGCATCATATATAAACCTATGCATCTTGAAGGGGATTTGCATGACTATAGCTTTGATAAAATGTATGACATGCTTCCGTTGCTTTCGTATATAAATTTTGAATTGTATATGCATGCTAGTCACTAGAAATCCCACATAAATCTCATATTTTCCCTTCACTTTGCGAAGTGCATAAAACAGAATCAGGTACCGATCATCGTTGATGTGTGAGTTTTTCATGTCTTACCAAACGAAATCGCCATCGAAGGGCTACTCTACTTTGCAACGATGGATCTGATGTCTTGCAAGAACGATTGGGTTGGGTATGGGTTGCGGGTGTGGCTGCTTTTGAAGATTGAGAAAGGATTTTGAAGCCTTGGGCTTGCTTCTGCATTTAAGGGAGTCGGTGGAGGGAAAGAGAGGATGGCTCTCTGTGACTCTGTGGGAGTGAGAAGATAATGATGTTATCAAAAAATAAAATAAGAAATGAATGGTTAGTGAAGATGACAGACAAAGAAAGAATTAAAAAAGGAAAAGGTGGGTGGATATAGGTCGTCTATCTTCCAAAAAAAGTTATTGGCCAAATGAACTACTTGGTTGATTAAACAATGTGTGTGTGTGTATCGGTTTGGGATTGGTACTAAAATTTTCGGTTCGGTATGGTTCGGGATTTTTGGAAATTTTTTCCAGCCTTAGTTAAAACAACAACATTGACTTTTGGTTGAAGTACCGATTTGTTTGTGAATTATCATCTCAGTAAAAATTAGATCCCTAAATTATTGTTTTGGTAAAATTAGTCCGTAATTTCATGAAAAATTGCTAATTTCATCCCTACTATTATATTCAAAGCTATTTTATCCAATTTTTCATCAACTTAAGTCACTTGACACACTTTAGAGTGTAATACCGTCATTTTCCTGCTTATAAGCATTTAACATTTCATATAGGTTGCAAATCTAATACCTAATTTATTCTCTGAAGTTAACTCCATACACTATTTCTTTATAAAAAATTTATCAATCTACTCTCAAATATATATCACATGCAAATAATGTGACTTAAATTGACAAAAAATTGATTATAGTAGTTTCAGATCTAATATTAGGGATGTAATTGGTAGATTTTATAATTTAAAGACTGATTTTTCTGAAGAAAAAAAAAAGTTTAGAGACCTAATTTTCACTCAGGTGATAATTCAAAGACTAAATTGACAGTTTACCCTAGGACTAAACCTAGCATTTTAGACCCAACTCATTAACTTGACTCAATTCACCAATTAAAATTAACAATTGGATGGATGCTTAACGGTCCAGTCGTTAAGGGATAAATCCGTTAATCACCCGTTTAATATCGGGTCAGCTTGAGTCTACCCGTGAAACATGTTAGCACCCATTAACAACTATTAGATGAGGGTATATGTGTAATTTACTACGAAATACTTAAGAACAAGTTGAGTTGGGCATTTCTTCAAACAGGTGATAGGGGTGTCGTGAAAGGATAAGATCAATATCTTTTCGTGATTGGCCAATGCAGGGACGTATTCAAACTTCGAAACAACTGACATGGGGATGGAACCCACCCTTATTACATAAAGACGACGAAGTGTAACGGCAAACCGGGATTTTTAAGAGGTGGGTGTTGGGCGGCGTTTAAGGTTTCGAACACCGTCGTTTTGGTTACAGATATGCAGATGAGGGAGAAAGAGATTAGAGTTCTAAAGAAAATATGTGAAAGAGCGAGAAACAGTATGGTTGTGGAGGAGGGAGTGAAAGTTGGGACGGTGGTTCTGGTGAGAAGTGGGAATGTGCCTAAAACGACGTCAGGTAAAGTACAAATATGGGCAACTAAAGATAAGTTGGTTGGTTGGCAGGATATTAAGGAAGTATTCCTTACAAATAGAACCTAGATCCTCTCCGGATCATTTGAAACTGAGCCTAAGGATCAAATGATTCAGGTTGCTGAAATTTGATCCGACGGCTACAATTATTATAACTTTTAGAGAGGTTCATGTTTGTAGCCGTTAGATCAAATTTCAACAGCCTGAATCATTTAATCCTTAGGCTCAATTTCAAATGATCTAGAGAAGATCTGGGTTGTTACAAATATACTATGCCTTTCCTAGCCTAGGTCAAATCTCACAAATTAGGGAAATATTATTATGATTATATTACGCCTTTTTCTAGTCTAGGTCAATCCCACAAATTGGGGATCACGGCTTGAATGCCATAATTGTCGATATGTATTGATTGTAGAGTTTTGTATATAATACCTTGTATGAGGAAGAGTTAATTAAGAGGAAATATGTATTGATTGTAGAGTTCTACACTGGAAATATGTAATAGAGACTCCACGCTGTTTATCGCCTCAATCACTTCCGTTGGCACCATACAATTTCATTTTGACATCACTTTAATTAGATAATGTTTTATGTGTCCCTTCATTCCGCTTAAACCTCATGTTTGGCAGCAAAGTCACCAATTCTCTAAATTGTTGTGTCATACTATTTTTCATTTTTTGTGTCTTGCAGAACTTGGCTTCAAGGAAGATGATTGGCTCGGGTAAATAGCGTGGTGATTTCTATTACATATATCCAATGCAGAGGACATCGATTTCGTGCCAAGTTTCCCAACCCTCAAACTTATGGAAATGCGTCTTTGCCATCCTTCTCCTCCTCGTCTTATATTAGTATTTCCATTATTGTCTACGAATAATCTCTTGGCTACTGGGAAGATGATTGCCTTGGGTAAACAACGTAGTGGTTTCTATTACATGTCTCCTCTCAACTAGGGCTGGGCACGGGCCGGGCCGGGCCCAATTTTGAAGGGACCGGACCGGACCTAGGTTCAAAAAGAACGGGCCGGGCCGGGCCGGGGATTACATTTTCTAATATAAGAACCAGACATTACCTGGCCCGGTTGAAACGGGCCGGTTCGAGCCGGGTCCACGGGTCCTTTTTTTTTTTTTTTTTTGTTTGAAAAAAAAAAATGTTTGTACGGATTGCAGATTGCAATCTGCACAAAAACTGCACAAATTGCAATCTGCACAAAACTGCACAGATTGCAAACTGCACAGATTGCAATCTGCACAAAACTGCACAGAAAACTGCACAGATTGCACAGATTGCAATCTGCACAAAACTGCACAGATTGCAAAACTGCACAGATTCACATCCAATCTAAATACAAAGTCCAACATCCAAGTTCATAGATTAACAATACATCCAAAATAATAATATTACATCTTCCAACATCTAAAAATCAAATCAACATACAAAATATCCGAAAATCCAAGACATCCAAATTCTAATGCTTTTCTCATCTTGTTATTGTTTCATCGTTAATTGAGTACATCTCTTGGTAGTCTAGAATTTGGATTCTAACTCAAGTTACATTTCAGGTTGCATAATTTTTAACCAATAAAGCAATTAATAACAACTGAAAATGCAGAATGGGAAAAGTAAGAAACTACCCGTCTCTGATTAGCCTGTTTTCTTTCCTCGAACTGTAATTTCTTCCGCAATCTCGTAATGTACCTATCATGAACCTTCACAAGTGCAAGAAAAGTTCACTTCAATCACATCCTTTTTAGCACATACCAATTTACCAAATTATATTACATACCATGTTTCCCTTAACAGAAATAATCATTAAATAACACTGATAAAACGTATCGAAGGCGAAAGACCCTAATGCTGCGAGTTTCAAATGTATATATATGAAAGATGAATGAAAACAAAATGTAAGGGCATAAGTGAATGGTAACATTCTTACCAGGTAAAGATAAATGAGAGATAAAAAGTAGGCAACTGGGTGGCAGTAATTGTAGTGGGAAAGCAACCACAGCATGCATAACACAATCCCTTAACACTAACCCAACGAGCACAGCAGCGGAGTAATTCAGTCAAGTGGTTGTGAATCTTTACGCAGGGCCATAAAAATGAACAAAAAAAATAAAAAATAAAAATCCCAAACTAGAACTCCTTCCATCTTCTTCACAAGTTTTCTCGGGAAATAAAACATATCCTAACCTCAAAAACAATTCCCAAACCCCGAAACTTACAATCCCTATCAACAATCAAAAACCCCTACCCCTAATCAACACCAAAAAATCCCCAAAACTCCAATATTTCAAACAATCAACCAAAAATCCCAAAACCCTCCATATCAACCTAACAATCATACAAAAATGGACAAGAAAAAACGAATTTTAGCATGAATTTTCAATTGGGGTCAAAACGCAGACTGGGAAAAGCACACAGTCACAGAAGCCACATGAATTTTCAATTGGGGTCTTGCTCACTTTGAGAACCCAGAATAGCATCTACAAATCTAATTAAAAAATCCTAAATTCCTAAACCAAAAATTCACGTAAATAAAAATACCCTAATTCAGAATTTCCTAAATTTTAGCATGATGATGGTAGCAGTGTTCTCGATGGTGAATCGATGATGGTCTGGGACCTGGAATCAGAGGACTATGAGCACCCTAATTTAAGAACTCAACAAAACCCCTAAATCTAGAAAACCCTAATTTCATTTTGAAAATAAAAATGTAAACCCAGCACACCAATAACATTGCCCTATTCAATCAACCTTCACCCCAGAGAACTCACTCATCGCAAATCCAGCTCACCCCCAACACATTTCAACAGAGAAACCAAACTAAATCCCAAAAGAACAAAAACCCAGCTCCAAAAATCAAATAAAAACAGACCCAGATGACCATTTCAATCAAATCACAACCAAAAAACAAGCAAGATCCATGTGAAAATCGCAGCAAATGAAAGGAAGCAGAAGAAAATATTTACCTTGCTGGGTACACGAGTTGTTCGACTTCGTTGTTCGTCGGAGGGAGAGAAACTGATTTCCAGAGAGTGAGTCAGGAAAAGAAGATCGAAGCCTGATGATGATGGCAACGGACGGAGGGTAGCGATGTATGGAGCTAGGACGATCGGAGAGAGTTAGGAGGAGAGAGGTCTGAGTGAACTATGAAATGAGAGGAGTCGGGAGGACCAGGAGGAAACAATTTCTTGATTTTCTTCTATTATTCATTCTAGAAACGGGCCGGGCCGGGGGCCCGTCCACTTCTATTTCAAGATCCGCCCCGCCCCGCTAATATGGTATACCCGAACCGCCCCGCCCCGTTTTGTGTTTAGAAATTTTGGACCCGGTCCTTACCCGCCCCAAATAACGGGTACCCGCCCCTACCCGCGGGTCCAGGATCCGTTTGCCCAACCCTACTCTCAACCCTCCAATTTATGGCAAATGCGTCTAGGCCATCCTTCTCCTTCTCGTCTTATATTAGTATCTCCATAATTGTCTTCGAATAATCTTTCTTTTGATAGTAATTGTGGTGTTTGTCCCTTGGCCAAACAAACAAGAATTCCTTTTCCTTTAATTTCAATTTCAACTCATGTTGCTTTTGATTTATTACATGGTGATTTTTTTTTTTTTTTGCTTAAACAAAAAATCACACGCACATAAAATTCCCACTCACTCGGAGTCTAGATCCTTTCTTATAGTTGTGGATGATTTTTATTAGATGCACGTGGATATTTCTTATGCAATTTAAATTTGAAACTCAACACATTTTGAAAACCTTTATATCCTTTGTCCACACACAGTTTCATCCCAACATTAAAGCAATCAAGGTTGATATATTTGCAGTGGTTTGTGAGGGGGATTTAGATCTGGTGTCTACTTTCTCAAATCAGAGTTTGACTTCCATTGAGGATGTGACAATGGGGGCGCACGGTTGGGTTTATGCTGCTTGAGATTAGGGTTGTTTTGATGTTTGTTTTTATTGCCATCAGACTTAAATTCGTGTGGGCCTCTTGTTGTGTATTGGGTTGCATCTCTCTTTCTGCTTGGGCCTTTTACTTTATCTGTTGTTGTTTGGCAAGTTCTTTAAGGCTTTGTACTAGTTTTTAATGGAAGTAATCTTGGTTGACCAAAAAAAAAAAAAAAAAAAATCAAATCAAATCAAATTTCCATACATTTAATTATATGAAATTTATTGAAAAACTGAAGTTGTATGACAAAAACAGGGATAACATTTGCGTACTCATTAGTGAGTACCTTATATATTTACTTTTTTATTTGGCCAAATCAAAATATATCATATGTTCCTTATCTTTTAAAGCTCAAGAAAAATTAATTAACATGTCTATAATTTTTAAAATAATAAAACATATGTTAGGATTCGTTTGGCCAAAATCAAAAACTAAATATATAGGCTACTAAGTGCCTAAGTATTATATAAAAAATAAAAAATAAACACGAGCTAGCTAGCATATATTTAGCTGCTCCATAAGGGAAAAACCCTGGGCTTATCTTTTGCAATATATGCATTCCAAGATGGAGAAACCTAGCTAATTCCTCTTGTACAAATGAAGCTCCCTGGCTAGAGACACAGTTTCCATATATTATACATATCAAATCCATCAGCAGCAGCTAGGGTTCTATACACGCACGCACACACGCGCGCAGCGCACACACACACATATATATGTATGTACATAATTAACGATCACTTTCCCAAAACCGTTTTCTCGATTGTTGCATATAGTTTCTCTTTCTGGGTTTCCTGGGATTGAGGATGCTTAATCCATGTTCTGGAAATTACTTTTAACTTCAATTTATGGGAAACTTCAATCAATCTACAGTAATAGTTTTATAGTTAAAATTGATTGTGAGTCTTTGCAATATAATAATCAATTCCTCTGTTTAATCAATTGAAATTCGGTCATGGTACTTGTGAGATTGTCATTTTCTGTATATTTTACTATTTCAGTATAATAAATAATTTATTTATTTATTTTTAACTCCAAGCTTGATCATGAAACTGAATTATCAAGAAAAATGGTCCCAAAATGTTAAGAGCAATGAAATTGCGTTGATGGGGTGGTGTGAATAATGGCAACCATATACTTGATAACAACTTCTTACATTTACAAGTGCCTTGTGATGGTGAATTCTTATTTTAAAGTATGTTGTAGCTTGTGTTCTTGTTTGGGCTGGCCATTTGATTTAAAACTGGGAATGCTCCTTTTCTGGTTTTTGAATTCTTATTCAAAAGTAAACAAAGGTAAGGTTGTGATTTTATTATCCATTTAAAAAATGTGGTTTAGTATTGTTTTGGCATTTTGGTGAAATGGGTTTGTTTGTACCTGTCTGCAAACCTTTTGTTTGTTCGTGATATAATAGATGACTGAGTATCCATGCTTATACATACTCTAATCATTTTTTTTTTTGCAACATGTGTTCATGTGGCTAAAATTCAGTGATTAGCTTTCTTCGTTGAAATTTTGATTAGTTTAATTCTATTCGAATATGAATTATTTCTTTATGCAACATATGTATCTTTTGGTTTGTTGGTGAGGCATTATTTACTAAAGGTGGTTTTATAGGAACTGCTAATGAAGATAATGAAGTAGCAAATTTTTCATACAATTGTCAATATAAAGTTGCAGAATGAATCTAAGGATGTAAGTTTCCTTACAAACTTAGTTAGACTTGAAAGTGTTTCTTTTAAAGTTTGCAAGTTTTATTTCTCTTCATTGACAAAAATTCATAGATTGGCAGCTTGTGACATACTCACTTGTTATCATGGACAAAGAATGCATTCACCACTCAAGGTTAATTTCAAATCCCTGAACCCTTAAATGCTATTGTACAATTGTATGTGTCGGTTTGGATCATGTTGTAACAACTACTACTTTGTGCTGAAAGCCTTTATTCACCATGTAGTCATTCAATAAATTTATCTTTATTTAACTTCGTCACAAATAGCTAAGCCATATACATTTTGAATTTTAAATAGAGTGGATGGTTCACATTTAGGATTGTCAATATGAGCTATAGCTGCATGAAAGGATTTATAAGGTTTTGGTGGAATAAGTGAAGATTCATCTGGGTAATTGATGACTAGTAACTTGAAATGATCTTCAAATTATACACATCAAAGATATTATTAATTGTAGGCATTACTTTTCTAAGTATATTGGCAATGTGTTTGTTGGCTAGGTAGTTGTGTCATATGTGATATAGGTATTAATCTTCCCTGTTGGGTATTTTGTTACAGGTTCTTTGCTCTCAAGTATGCTGCAGGTGCAAGATGGTTGTGATTGTGCAGGAGCTAGTGCTAGATGGTTGTGATTATGCAGGGGCAAGATGCAAGATGTGTTGTGATGCTACATGGCAGCTAATTTTGAATAATGACAGTAGATAATTTTATTATGTGACATGCTTTTGTATAAGTACTCTAGATGTACGTTTTATACTTATCAATAATTTTTGTGTACTGTATTTTTATTTTTGTGTATTGTATTTTTATGTACATATGTAGTAGCTAAGCATTAAAGCATTTAATTTTTTTTATAAATGAATTGTCTTCCCTACGAAACTAATTTTGTCGGGAGATAGAAGACTTTGCCGACGAAATATCCATGGCGACAAACACATTTTGTTGGCTGAAAAGTGTTATTTGTCGGCTTAAAAGGCCTCTATCGATGAAAATATTTGTCAGGGAAGATGTAAATGCCGATAAAAAAGAGTTTGTCGGGAAAAGTTGAACCTTAGCTGACGAAATACCAAAATTCGTCGGGAAGATTCTTGCACGACATGCTTTGCGTGACAAAATGGCCAACGAAAATTTTCATTGGACAAGACTCTTTGCCAATAAATTTGGACTTTTGCCGATAAACTAATTTTGTCGGTAAAATCGCAATTTCTAGTAGTGCATCTCTCTTGTGCTTTCCACCATTTCTGTGAGGTATCTAGGTATGCAGCTTTTTTTTTTTTTTCTTTCTGCAAATTAAAGCTACCTTCTTTATTCTTTACAAAAAGCTGCATAATATATGCGTGTGTGTACTCTTTGGGGACCATATGGGACAAGACGAAAAGATAAGAATTACTGGTTTAGAGCCCTCAAGATACATGTAGCATGGCAGTGGGGATTTACTTTATACTAAAGATGAACGAAACAAAATGATTTGTATTTATGCAATATATAACTGAATATATAAGACAATTGTACTGCTTTCCCTATTGAGACGGCATATCAGCACGCGTGCATCCCCCACTGGAAAAAAATTTCCCATGCTAAAACTTCACCTATATTTTTATTTTTTTGTTTCTTCGACAAAGTAATATCTTATAAAGTATTCTAATTTGCAGAAAAGAAATTCAAACTTGGATATAAAGGGGTGAACGCACTATATATCCGACTAAACTAGCCTCAAACTCGGACCTGTCAAATTAATCCAAATGTGATCAAGGAACTAGGAAAGTGGTGACAAACATGAAGTTTTTGTTTCAATTAATTAGTGGCCAGAGCGCGTGCAAGAGACCAGACTAGCAAGTGAAGGGAGATGTATAGGGTGAGGATGCAATTTCAGTGACATGAAATATAGGCAAGTAACATCATCTCTTTGGGCCTTGAGCCCTCATAACATGTACTAGGAAAAATGAAAAAGAACGGTAAAGCCCAAGTATGTTGAGGCCCAAGAAAACCTGCAACATGCATGCCAATTGGAGATCCGAGATTGACCTAAAGTTATGCTCCCCATTCTGGTTCGGGAGAGATGCACAAATATAATAGTTACACCATATGACAAGCATCAGATAACTGGGTTAATTCTGTACTACGGGTTTTTTTTTATCATGCACCCGTAGATTTTTGTCCACAAGATGACATGGCTGTTTAAGTCCAGAGGCCCTGATCTTCTTTTTATTTATTTATTTATTTTTTTTAATTTAAAAAAAATAAAAACAGATTTTAAACTTTATAATATACATAATCTTGCTAAATGGTTCTCAATCTTACATGGGTCATATTCAAAATACACACCTTCTTAATAAAAACAATGTGGTAAAAAATTATAATTAAATAATAAGTACTAGTTTAATTAATTTAAGAGTGCTACTAAGCCCGCTCCAATGTCTTATTTCTTCACCCACTTTGAAATGATAATTTGATTGACAACTTTATGTTTGTGTAAAATAACCTTCAAAGACCTATTGACCAACCAATCATGTCTTGACACATCATTAGTTATACTGACAAAAAACCTAAAATATCATAAATGAGAAAAAGAAAAAGGAAAAAAACCTAAAAACCGATCTTATTTGGTGTTTTGGAACAATTTGGATACCTACCATATATTGAATTTGGACGAATCTGATTTGGGGTTATTGGTAGTGACGGTTCTGAAATTATGGGGCTGCTGTC